AGTAATTATAAAAAAAAATTGAATTTTGTCCTTTGGTTACTTATAATGGGGTCATTTATAAACGGGGTGTGGCCAGTTACACCCAAAAGCCTATAAAACCTAAACAAAAACTCAAAACTCTATGAAACTTGGTGAAAACATGTCAGGTGACTCTTAACAAGTTTCATGGAGATTGGACCATAGGTGGCGCTATAACAGTTAAAAAGGCCTCAAAAACACAATATTTGTATAGTGAATGACCTCAAATTATAGAACATGTTCATATATTCACACATACACTAGATCTTCATATCATATGATAGATCTCCTCATTCTAAACAACTTTGTCTCTGAGACTAATGCTGTCAATCAAGTCGTTCACTAAATATTCTCAATTATGATAAAAACCTACTTTTGTAAACTAGTCCTATAGTTTTTCGCTCAATGTCGATCAAACCACAACAGAACAATTCTCTGGACTCCCTAGATCAATAAGTATCAAAAAAAAAATTATTCTGTTCTTTGGTGAGCTATAACTGGGTCATTTAGAAAAGGGGCGTGGCTACATATACCCAAAAACCTAAACGAAAACTCAAAACTTTACGAAACTTAGTGAAAATGTGTGACTACTGACTCTTAATAAGCATGCAAAGTTTCAGGGTGATCGCACCATAGATGGCGCTATAACGGTCATAACTGTTAAAAATCATCACATTTCTTGGGTAAATTACCTGCATTTGCCCAAAATGCTATTTTTAATCATTGATTTAGGTGATTATAGCCATGTTAACACAAAATCTTTTTCCTCCCCCGATTTATAATATCATCACAAACAACATATGACTTAAATTTCTTTTTCAACATCTTAAGACAATGTTCACAGTTAATACTAACAGTTGTATTGCATTTTTTTGCGGAAAAAAGTAAGATTAATACATGTCTACTTTCTACATTTTCTGAATGTCCAGCCCCATGGGCGGACATGTTGGCTTTAGGTCAAACTGCCAAAATGAGCACAGAAAATTTGAAGTCATGTGACCCCCATACTCCAAACAACTTCAACTATGTGATAATGATAACAGTATTGGATTAAAAATTCTCTCATGCCTCCTACAAGAACACTAAAGAATATGTATCCTGTGGTGCACATTGCCTTTTTAAAGGTCACATATTTTACACCTTTCTGGAGTTTTATTTTAGGTTTTCATGTCCTTAAGAATATATATTTGCAGTATAAGTACCAAAAACGATCTCAATATATTTTTACAGCTCCTCTCTCAGGAGCTCTGCTGAGAACAGGTTGATTTTGGCCTGTTTAATTAATATTCATGAGCCTCTCTTCTGATTGGCTTATTGTTTTCTGAGTGATGCATGGACAGGCCAACCACAGGTAACTAGGGTCAGCAACGTCACAGCGCTAGCTGGAGGCAGCAAACCAAAGGGGAAACTGGGGACCACCACACTATTCTCCTTTCTACTCCACTATCCACAGGACACTCTGGATATAGGCTCTAGAGCCTCTTACTGGAAAATGAATTCCTCTCTACTTAAACATGACGAATTAAAAAAAACATTTCCTCTCTGATTCGACACTACTGGGTGAAAGCTTCTTCCGACAAAAAAAATTGGCATAAATTGGGAGGTTAAAATATGAAGTAGGGATGTGCATTAGGCATTTTAGTAGCAATTTGGCAAAACAGAGAAGGTATGAAGAGGAGAAGGTTATAGCAAAGATCTTAACACTTCAGAGCAAAATTCAGGATGGCTTATCAGAAACTGACCTGACAGAACTTGCAGGGCTCCAATCTAAATTAGACCATATTTATAAATACAAATCTGAAGGTTCCTATGTCCGTTCAAGGAGGAAATGGCTAACAAGGAGAACAGAGCTCTGCTTATTTTTTTAGAATGGAAAAACACAATTCTAAGAATCTTACCATTAGTTCTCTGCAAATTAATGGCATTTTGACAGATAATTCTAAGGAAATTGCGTTTCTGTAGTAATTTCTATTCAGAACTTTATAAATGTAATTATTGTAAAGATTCAGCTCTTCTTTTCTTTCATTCATTAAAGGAGGTTAAATCATTATCTAAAGATGAGCAGCTTGTATGCGATAAAACTTTAACTGAAATGATTGAGGGGATTGAGGGCCTTAAAAATAACAAATCTCCTGGAACTGATGGCCTAACGGCCGAGTTCTACAAAAGCTTTGCTGAAGAATTGGCACCATTCCTGCTAGAGATGTTTTTGGAGAGTATTCAGTCAGAAACTTTGCCTTCTAGTTTAACACAAGGACTTTTAACTTTGATACCTAAACCTAAAAAAGATGTTACTTTGATAGATAATTGGCGACCTATTTGTCTCCTTAATAATGATTCTAAAATTTTAGCTTGGGCTGTGGCCAAAAGACTCAAGTGTGTTCTAAGTTCAGTTATCGATGAGACTCAATCAGGATTTATGCCAAAAAGACACATATCAAACAATATCCGACTTGTTCTAGATTTATTAGACTATAGCGAATTAGTTAATGATGACAGTCTTATTCTTTTTGTAGATTTTTACAAAGCTTTTGACTCTCTTGAACACAAGTTTATTTTTCTATCTCTTAAAAAGCTTGGGTTTGGTGATCCATTCTGCAAATTTATAAGAACTCTTTATAACAATGCCAACTGTTCCATCAATCTTAAGTCGGGTACCTCGCCTAGATTTCAATTGTCAAGAGGAGTTCGTCAGGGTTGCCCTGTATCCCCTTATTTATTTCTTGTGGCTGCACAACTTCTTTCCTCCGCTCTTTTGAGTAGTCAGCTGCAAGGTATTACTATTGACAACAACCATATGCTTATTAGTCAGCTAGCTGACAACACTACCCTGTTTTTAAAAGATGAATCACAGATTCCGATTGCCATCCAATACATAAATTTTTTCTCTAAAGCTTCCGGCTTAAATTTAAATCTTAATAAATGTGAGCTGTTAGCTGTCAAAGCCTGTCCCTCTCCCTCTCTTTACGGTATTCCAGTTAAGTCACAGGTGACCTATCTGGGTGTATCCATATGTAAGGATGATAAAGTCAGAGGCAGACTGAACTTTGACCCAGTTGTTGAGAAAACTAAAAGGAAATTCAATTCATGGTTACTAAGAGATTTATCTCTTAGGGGACGAACCCTTATTGCTAAAGCTGAGGGTATCTCAAGAATGACTTACCCTGCTCCCTCCTTATACGTGGATAAATCTACATGTGTAGATA